GCAATGGGTAGGATGCTGATTGGTCTTAAGTCAGTAAGTCCTTCTGGCTTGGAATTTTTCGGAAGTGGCTTAATCTTTGCAATTTTTCCATATGTTTGGAACAACTCCATTTGTTATTGAATTGTTTATAAGATGAGTTAATGGACTAAGGCAGTATGGCATTAAGAGGTTTCCAGGCTTTTAAGTTAATACCATCAATACCTTCTGCATTGGTTGAAATTTTTACCAAATATTCTTAGAACTTGCGATTCGTCTACTTCTACCAACTTAAAACATTCCAGACAATTATACTTCACATTATTACAATAAAACTCTAAAAGTTCTTCATCCAAATCAGGGCTGGGGATAGAGTCAATAAAATAGTTGTTGATCTCTTCCGCTTTAGTAGTAACAGGCAAAGTGAAATTCTTATTACGTTTATGTATGTTAAGTTGATCCAAGGATTTCCATAATTTACTTGAGTTGTGTATATTACAGTTAACATGATGGTGAATATATGCTATCTTTTCTCTTCTTAAAGCCCCTGTTAAGTAATTTCTTATTTGTTTGTAGTAATTGTAATGTGTCAATAATTTAGTTCTTCGATATTTTTTGTAAGCAGCATTTTTTATTTTACATAACTGAATAATATTATATGTTATATATGGATTTCGCGGTTTTTTAATTGTATATGTTTTAAAGGGGGCATATACATCAAGTAGAGATTCCACTGCATTATTGAGAAGTTGCACCTTATTGTCAATCTCATCTTCTTGGTAGACTCTATTCCAATTAATCAAAGAAGCATCTCTGGAAAAATTTTCCTTATGAATATTATTAAAATCCCTGGAGCAAATTGTTATAGGTTTATCCTTTTTAATTGTAATATTTAGCTTGCATCCCACAAGTCGATGATCTGTAAGGTTCAGTAAATCTACTATTTCAACTGCATGATGCTCAAGATTATTATCACAGCAAATTAAATCAATCAAGGTTTGAGAGGTATCTGTGATCCTAGTGGGTTCCTTGATAATTTGATTTAAATTATATATTTCAATGATGTTGAGTAATTCTGTTTTTAGTATAGAATTTTGAAACAGGTTTATATTAAAATCCCCTACTAATGTAACATAATCGGATTCCAGATTTATAGATTTTATAGCTTTATCCAGATCATGAAAAATTTCAATTTATTTGAAAAGTAAGGTTATGTCAAAAAATAAATAAAATAAAAATTGTAGATCTTTTTATTATCTACAACTTATATATTTGACTTTTTTTGATCCGAGCTATAGTTTTCTTTTTATTAACAAAAAACCGTTTTTTTATGTGTCGCGCAATACAAATTAATGTTTTAACAATAGTAATAATAAAGGTACCATATTTTGAAAACATGTTTTTTATGTAAAATTTGACGGAGAATACGATAAAAATACTAAAAACTTAATACGAGGTGGGGGGCCATTGTTAAAAATTGATTTAAACAATGAAATTGTTAATAACAATATGAATTTGTTAATAATATTTATTAAAAATATTTTTTTATCAAAATTCAGTCCTTTAGCTTTAAAATGAAAAAAAAAAGAAGTTTGTAGCTCAAATATAACCAGAGTTATAAATTTTTGAAAATGAGTCTCCAAGCCAAAAAACTCGTTATTCTCAAATTTTCGATAGCTTGTATTATCGAAAATATGCGAGAGAAAAAAAATTCCTCGGACACGTATCTCTTATTTTTCGACATAGAATCCGTAAAAAAAGTTTCAGCCAAATCTGAGATGTGTCGGTCAAAAAGTGTTCGGTTTGTAAAAGAATTACCCATATTTTCAAAATGTTCGTGGTTTACGATCTAAAGTTGATGAAGTATATTCGTTTACATCCGAGCAAAGTTTTGACTGTATTGCCTTAGTGGAAACGTGGTTAAACTGTGATATTAGTAGTAGCGAATACTTTTCTGATATTTACACTGTATTTCGTTCTGATAGGGATTATGCTAGAACCGCAACTTCTCGCGGTGGAGGTGTGCTTCTTGCTTTTAATTCTTCTTTCAATGTTAATTTAATAACTTTTACTCAGTTTAATTCTATTTCTTTATTGATAGATATAGTTTGTTGCAAGTTAATTCTTAATCATACTCAATATTATATTTTTGCTGTTTACATTCCTCCCCACATAAATAACGCTGAGCTTGAATACTTTTTTGAAATGTTTGAATCATGTTTACTTAATTTAAAAAATATTTTTATCATTGGAGACTTTAATATACCTAATTTTATTACTCATAACCTTAACGATTACAAAACACGTGTGTTACATAACTTTTTAAATTTTACTTCTCTCTGCCAACATAATAATATCGTTAATGATAATGACAATATTCTTGATTTGTGTTTATCTGATCTTAACTGTAGTGTCTCTAGGGAAACTTCATCTATGGTATCTGAGGACAAATATCATCCATCTCTTTCTTTTAGTATTATAACAGATTTTGATAAATTTCAAAATTTTCCTACCAACGCTAATAACAAGAATTATAATTTCAAGGGAGCCAATTTATTTGAACTGTATGAGGCTTTATTAAGTACTGATTGGAATTTCCTTAATTACTATAATAATATTAACTCTGCCTGTGAAGCTTTTTATACTCAACTTTATTCGCTTTTTGATCAATTCGTACCCAAATTTACAAAATGTAAACGTAAATATCCAAAATGGTACACAACCGAAATAATCAGCAACATAAAAATTAAAGAAAGGTGTTACAGGAATTTTAAAAAACATAAAAATGAGGTTTTTTTAAACGAATTAAAACAGGTTAGAAAACTTCTCAAATCTCAAATTTCCGTCAATATATTCAACATACGGAAGACAACATTATTTTAGAACCCAAAAATTTCTGGTCATTTATGCGCGAAAAACGTGGTAAAACCAGAATACCAGCCAATGTCTTTTTAAACGATATACAATATGAAACTCCTCAAGATGTTGTTAATGGCTTTGCTGATTATTTTGGTAGTGTTTATTCTGTCAGTGATGACAATACTGCTTTGACTCCTGAGTTTACATTTAATTCAGATATAAATATTACTGCATTTTCTGAGGAGCTTATATTACGGAGTATGTCTAAACTAAAAAACAATTATTCATGTGGTGTTGACCTCATCCCAAACTTCTTAATAAAAGATTGCTCGTTAATATTTGCATATCCTCTCTTAATATTGTTCAATATGATATTGTCAACGTCTACTTTTCCAGATTTATGGAAAATAACCAGAGTTTGCCCTATTTTAAAATCAGGTAATCCTAGCGATATTAAAAACTATAGACCTATAGCTATTCTGTCTAATTTTGCAAAAGTCTTTGAATCTTCCCTGTATACCTGCATCTACAATGAGGTAAGTAAACTAATTTCCACGCAGCAGCATGGATTTATGAATAAACGCTCGACTGTATCCAACTTAGCTGAATTCACGCAATTTGTTTCAGAACAACTTGACAAAAAACTTCAAGTAGATGCTGTATACACTGATTTTTCTAAGGCCTTTGACAGGGTCGATCACCAAATTTTGCTTAATAAGTTACACTTTTTTGGTTTTAGTCACTCCCTCATTAATTTGTTTTATTCATATTTGTGTGAGCGCAAATTATCTGTTTCATATAATGGCTACAACTCCGATTATTTCTATGCGAGCAGTGGAGTACCACAAGGCTCTAACTTGGGTCCGCTTTTGTTCATTTTATTTATTAATGACTTGTCATTACAACTTAATTGTAATCATCTACTGTTTGCTGATGACCTAAAAATATTTACCAGTATTTCCAGTTATACAGATTGCGAACTCTTTCAGGATCAGTTAAGCATTATTTTAAGATGGTGCAAAGTTAACAAACTCGACCTAAACATTTCTAAATGCAAAATCTGTACCTTTAGTCTTAAAAATACGCACTTCATATTTAATTACAATTTAGATAATACTATTCTTCCTCGCTGTCATGAAATTCGTGACCTTGGTGTACTCTTTGATAATAAGCTTTCTTTTACATCCCACATTAATAATACTGTGCAATCTGCTTTAAAGCTCCTGGGTTTTATAAGTCGGAATTCTACCAATTTTTGTAACATCACAGCACTAAAATCAATGTATTTTTATCTTGTTAGAACAAAGCTCGAATATTGCTCACTTATTTGGTACCCGTATTATAACGTACATATTAACTCAATTGAAAAAGTACAAAGAAGATTCCTTAAACTTCTCTCCTACAGAGTTGATCATATTTATCCTGCTAGAGGAACTGACCATAACATCCTCTTAACGCGTTTTAATTTTGATACCCTACATGTTAGACGAATAGTGACAAGTTTAAAATTTCTGTGGAAACTTTTTCATTACCAAATTGATTCTTGTCATTTATTGAGTCTCTTAAATATTTTAGTGCCACGTTTGGAATCTCGTGGAAGTAAAACATTTTATTGTAGTTCCTCAAGAACTAACGTGCTTTTGAAATCTCCTGTTCATGTTATGTGTAGTAATTATAATTGTATAGGTAACCAGTGCGATTTCTTTAATTCAAACATTAAGGAAATTACGTCCAGAGCTCATGATTTTTTTTTTCTCGGTCAAAATAATTTGGAATTTTAATTTTTATTTAATTTATATTATTCATGATATTATTTTTTATTATATGTTTTTTTTAACAAAATATTAAGTTCATTTTATATCTTTTTTCTTTTATAATTTTTTTTCATATAATGTTACATGTTGTGTACTTTGTCCTGTAATTGGAATATGTATTCTGTTGGGCAATAAATTATTATTATTATTATTTATTTATTTAGATGTGTTCCTGAAGCACCAGCGATGACACATGCCGCAAGGTAAAAAACTTTGTAATTCCCACCTTCACATATGAATATTCCTGTTTAAAAGTTTTATAAAGTTCTTTTACATTACAAAGAATTAAATGTTTTTGCAAATGTTCCTTTTTTCCATCGTCCTTTTTAATGGATACAAAATCTGTTTTACCAGGCATTACCCGGCTGTTATCTTCTCTAAGATAAAAGTCTTTTACCAGTGTTTCAGTTTTAAGCTCCATCTTTCGTCCTTCACGAGGATTTTGCGTCGACATTATGCCGTATTTTTTCACCAACTCTTTTGCATTTTTTGCCTGCCTTCTGGATGTTCCAAACTCTTTTGCAAGCCTGTTTTCGCTCCACGATTTTGGAGCAATAGTTAGAATCATGGTCTTTATTGGCCCTGGTGTAGAAGGATCATTAAACTTTTGTTTAAGTTGCTTCAAAATTTCTGAATCTGCAGATTGTTCTATTTTAATAGCACTAACAATGGGAATACAATTACTGTCTTTTTTGAGGTCGTCTTCCATTTGTTCGTCTTCGCTAAATATAGTAGCTGCGTTGGGCTCATTCATGGCCCATGATTCATCATGAATGCTGGCTGAGGCACTTCACTTATAAAAAGTTTTCTGCACGTACCACAAACAAAATTCTTATTTGAAACTTTCCACTTTTTTGCCATTTTAATGGAAATCTTTCGAATTCCTCTAGTTCTTCTATGGTTTAAAAGCTCAAAGGCGTTAAAGCAGCGGTAGCTAATTGGAGACATAATTGGCAGATAACAGTAAACTTTAATAATAAATAAAATAAATTGTTTACTTAAAAACAGAAAAAAACTAAAAACGAATAAAAACTACTTTTTTAACTTTGCTAAATACTTTAGGTAATAAGAAATTATTCACATTAAAGTAAATAAACAAACATCCTAGCAACAATTGTGTCCCTAGTAACTATCCTTTTGAAATATTATCCATAGATGACTTGTGATTAAATATTCTTATTTTTAAACATTGGTTTATTATTATTTTCAAACAATCAATTTAATAAAAAGTATTGTCAACATAATTATATATAACAACAATGTTAAGAAAAATTGTGAGTTCATAAGTACCTACTAAATTTATTGTAATGCTGCATGTTTAAATGCCTATATTTTTTGTTTCAGTAAAAAAATATTAAAAAGGACAATAAAATCAAGTTAAACAATATCGATGTAGTTGTGCACAACAATTAAATTTTATTTAACAAGTTTTTCTAGTCCTCTAGCATTTAAACGAGTGCTCATCAAATTACAAAATTTTGTACGCCTCATCTATACATTTTGAGAGAATTTTTAAGCAATTAAAAAAAAACTGGCCAAAATTAAAAAAATTATAATTTTAATTTTTTTAAACAAAATTTCTAATTGTTAACAAATTGGAATTTTTAATTTAAGGGCATAACCACAATCCACACAACAAGGTCTGTTCGATCTTCTTAAAATACCAACGAAAATCGGTACTGTTATGCGCACATACGGCTACCGCCATATTTGATTTATTTGCCGCCGTTAATTTAAATTTCTCAAAATAGTAATTCTGTCTAACAGGCATGTAAGAAGTAAAAAAAGTTTTTTTTAAGTTTTAAAGAAACTGGAAATGTTTTTTAACATTATAAGATTTGTAAAATGTGAAATCACTATTTCTGTCATTATTCTTGCAAGTTTTTACCATACAGCATGCTACAAAATAAATAAATTTATATATAAATAGGAGAAACATTTTACCATAGTTTTACTTACTGGTTAAAGTTTAATATGTTGCAAAAAATATTGTTTAACCGTTAAACAATATTTTTTGCAACATATACACAAGTACACTGGTACAGTCAACAAAATCCACAATAAATTATTATTATTATTATTGTCAATAATCCAATAAAATAACAGAAGCACACTAACAAAAGAAGAATTCTTAAACACTAACCAAAGTACTTTACACTATAATCCACAATAATAAAGAACAAAACCAAACAACTATAACAAATCCGCATAAAACATCACAATAATTGCAAATAATGAAATTGTAAACAATAAAAATGGCGACTAAAGTATGAATGTTGCCTACTTTTGTGATTTTTAACATGCGCGAATAAAGATCGAACAGACCTTGTTGTGTGGATTGTGGGCATAACGAAAAAGAGCATACAATTACCTACCAATGTGATTTTTTATTTTTTTTCTAAGAAGATTTTTCAAGAAGCTGGACCCCATGCACCATGTACAATGTTTTGACGAAAATGTAAAAGCCCCTAGCAGTGTCAAATAGTTTTATGTCAATGCTAAGACCCCCTAGGGGTACAGCATACCCAAATATGAACAAATTTAAACAACTATGCTTGTAAAGTTGCCCGCTTGGCGTGAAATGCCCCATATGCCAGATGTATAAATAGCCACTTTGTAGAATTAAATCACTAGAATAGTTAAAGTTTTGATATCTTAGGTAGTTTAACTCTTGAGCAGGGCAAAAGTATTTTAAGGAATTTAAATATTGCATAGATTAAATTATATGCCCACCTGAGTGTTCCCATCACCGATCAATGCAACATCTCTCAGGGCCGGTTTATCAATGTCCGGTTAAAGTTGCAGTTAGTTATATGGCAGATAATCTCCATGGATACCATTGTTCTCACAATGATCAATATGTAATTTCTGTGGGTAAAAGGCATAAGGGGATAAGTCAAAAAAAGCAATTTTTCAATAGAGCCTTTAAGGTGTTCGCATTAATTCAGGAAATATATTTATGTTTAGCGGGTATACGCTTTTGTTAGCATATGACATGTGCTAACAAAAGGGTATACACTCTAACCATAAATATATTTCCTGAATTAATGCGAATACGTTTAAGGCTGTACTGAAAAATTGATCATTTTGACTTATCCCCTTATGCCTTTTGCCCACAGATTTATAATTTAACAGATAGACTAACTGGAACTAAACCAGAAAATGATAAATTGGCCCTCAGACAGCTTATTACTCTTAGATCTTAGAGTTTCAGTTTTACTCCTAGTCCCTGATTATGAGTACCTAAGTAATTATAAATTATTATTATAAGGATTAAAAGTATAAGTCTGACTTAGTCATAACCCAGTGACTAGATCCTAGTATTAAGCTTAAGGATTATAGGGCATTTAGGAATAGTTGAGCAGAGTTCTTACTTACTAGCATATTCTCTTGATGTATGTATGTCCCTAGCCAAGTAAACACAACTAAAGCTGCCTTCCCCAATTAGTTTTCCAAATATATAATCAGATGAAGATCTTTTCTTTGATTCTTCGGATTGAAACGGCATTTTGTCTAAAATTAAATGTATTCATTAAAAAAACCTTTTTAATCATGTTATACCTTAATAACTTAAGTTTTAAACACCAGCCAACACCTTCATATTATATCATTTTTACCACTTTTACACATTAATTACACTATTTACAGAAGGTAAATTGATTTATATTTATTTATAAATTGTGACCTCCAACTTGTCAATAAAATAACAGTGTTACCAGTGGCAACTTGCGACACAATCAGCATTGCCAACTTTAGCATTTATAAAACCGTTCTTTTCAGGAGTAAAGTCTGATTTATACATTGCCTTCCTTCCTTCCTCCCGTAAAATATGAACTATGGACTTTGAGATGTGGAGCATAAGTCGTTTTTTCGCGTAAATACTATGTAATACTACGGTTAAATAAGTCATGACGTCACAGTTAATTCATATAACCATGGTTAGGTTTCTAACATTTGACATTTGTTTACTTCTTCATAACCTATAATTTTACAGGGCCGGCCCGAGGTACGGGCGATCCGGGCAACGGCCCAGAGCGGCATAATGGGGGGGCGGCATTTTTACGATTTGTTAATGATAATCAATTTTAATCAATATAAGTACTAAAACTTTTTAGATTGGCGATTTTTTTAAGAATTACGCTCGAGAAATGCAGTTTAGATAATTTAATATCTTTGTTACAAAGATTTAACAGAGACGCTCTCGGAAGACGACCCTGGCGCCCTCTTTCATTCGTTTTTTCAATCACATACTTTTGTTTGACAATAGACAACTAATAATTGACAAATATTATATCACGATCGTGCTTGTAACATCAGTGCATTGCTAAACTACTTTTTTCCTATTCCTGCTGATAAAAAAGTGGGCGGCAAAAATATCTTGGCCCGGGGCGGCAAAAAACGTCGGGCCGGCCCTGCCTATTTATATTTAATTTCTATGCTTTTACCGGTGTAAATAAATTTCTTTGCCTCTTCTTATACCTAGTATATTCTTTTTCTATAGGTACTAGTTTTTTCAATACACGTTATCCAATTCTCCTACATGTTTAATACAAAATAAGAAAGAATCATTTATTTTTACTGACAACACCCCGTTTACCATTTTAATACAAAGTTTAAATTCGGTTTAAGACCTACTTAAAATATTTTAAATTTCAAATGTAAACAACTTTTTGACAGATCGAAACCACGTTGAATAACTAGCACAGCGATATAGTTTTATGGTCTGGTATTTGTTACGTCATAGTTAGGATTTTTGAACGCACTCTAAACGCAAAAATGCCTTAAGATTAATTTTCATGTATCCGTTTGTCCGTCATCCGTATGTCAGTTTTTCAATAAAATCGTCCGATAAGAAATGTTCTAATTTTCATGCATACGTTTTTTAATGACGTTTAACGGATTGATTTTTCGACAAATATAAATTAAGTGTCAGTATATTCACTTACTAAATTTACCTAATGCTTAATTGTCATAGTTACAATTATGTCAACAATTGTAACTTTAACAGTTAGCTGTCTAATAAATTTAAAGGTAGGTAAATATACCTTATAAAAAGAATATACTAGCCCTATTATACATTAAAATGTATAGTTTTAAAAAATCAGGTCCTTTTAGTTCTAGTTTTAATTTTTTTTTGTTTGTCCTTTCTTTTTTTCCGTTATTCTTATTAAATAAAAACTTAACAGTAGGTAAAACATTATTCACATAAGGAACGTAATATTTCCGTTTTACAATCTTATTGAAAAAATATAAAAATATTTGAAAATAAATTATCTTAAAATAACGTTAGGCGTCAAAAACATATGTGTACTACACACATTGTGTAGTGACGGATGAGTTAAAATTATTTAACCTTTCTCTGTCAGACGTACGAAGTTGAAACTTGACGGACCGATAAAATGTCATAATTTTAGAATTATAATTGGACCAATAAGAGCGCTCCCGGATGAACGGACTGACGGACAAACGGATACATGAAAATTAAGCTTTAACTCTTAACCAAGGTTAAGTTTAATAACAATAGTATTTCATGGTATTTACGCGAAAAAACGACTATAGTCTATGCTCCACACCTCAAAGTCCCACCACGTGACTACGTACGAAAAAATTTAGCATTTAAACAGGGATGCCAGATCTGGTGATTTTAGACTGTATTTGGTGATGTGGTGATGAATTTTAAAAAAATAGCTAAATCTGGTGATAAATCAAAATTTGTAATAGGTAAATAAGAAAATCTCGGATTTGAGTGAGCAGATAAGTAAACTTAGTTGTCTAGTTTAGTTTACCTTGATGTATGTTGGCCTCCCTGCAAGTTGGAGGGGGGGCAACAAGAGATTGTAACCAACTCATGATACATGGTTTGATTACTTTTGCTGAGAAAGGGAGGCCCGGGCGATTTTCTTATTTTTGCATTTACAGGAGTGTGGGGTCTAAAATCATATAAAGTCCCGGACAACATTCGTGATATTCATACGAACATCATGTCGTGATTTTCACAAATTTTATTCATACTGATATCATACGGAAGTCACCACGTGATAAATGAAAATCATACGAAGGCCACGTCGTGATTTTCACAAATTTTATTCATACGGACATCATCCGGATGTCACTGCGTAAGAAATGAAAATCATGTCGTGATTTTTTATGCCATTGCTGTTTTGCGATTGACCGATGGCACAAAAAATCATTTTGTGATTTTTTATGCCAACGGTGTTTGGATAATCATTTTTGCGCTACGTTCCCGGACAACAATCGGGATTTCCTGGTGAAGTCATGATGATATCACAACGTGATTTTTTTTATCACGCTGTGATATCCTAGGACTCAGCTGAGTGCATACACATGCTTCATCACAGTGATATCATGCATGATGCAAAAATAAAATCACACCGTTAGTTCTACATGTAGAACTAACGGTGTGATATCCCTGTTGAAAATGACCAGTAGAAACATATAGAATCCGTACAGTGTTTCTATATGTTTTTATAGTTTGTTATATGACACAATGGATCTAATATGTAATCAGTATTATGAACTGTATGTGTTTATATGGTTTTATATGACAGAAATTTATATGAAAATCCATCTTAAATCATATATGAATGAATATGAATTTATAGGTAATAAATTGTATATGGTCAGTTTTTTATATGCCTGTGTAGAAATGAATATGCTGCGTTTTCAATATGGTCTTATATGTAATGTCTGTTTCAAAAATCATATAGTATCATATTGGAACCAGCAGGGATTTTTCATATATGATTTTATATGTCATTTACAACAGGGATTATTTTTGCGCCACATAAATTTAAAGAAAAAGTATGTTAACAATTGAGTTAACAGTTTTTGCGGTTAAATACATTTAATATTTTCTTGGATGTAAATTAACTATTAATTTAAATCCAAAAAAATATTGAATGTAATTAACCACAAAAACTGTTGATTTAATATACATATATGTGGGTATACTTTTTCTCTTAATGTAAGAATGTGGCGCAAAAATAAATATCCAAATCCAAAAAATATTGAATGTAATTAACCACAAAAACTGTTTAAAATCACGACATGGTTTTTTATGCCATCGGTGTTTGGATATTCAATTTTGCGACAATTTGTACATTGAAAGAAAAAGTATGTTAACAATTAAATCAACAGTTTAACATTCAATTTTTCTTGGATTTAAATTAACTATATATAAAAAATATTGAATGTAATTAACCACAAAAACTGTTGATTTAATATACATATATGTAGGTATACTTTTTCTCTTAATGTAAGAATGTGGCGCAAAAATAAATATCCAAACACCAATGGCATAAAAAATCACGACATGATTTTTTATGCCATCGGTGTTTGGATATTCAACTTTGCGACACATTTGTACATTGAAAGAAAAAGTATGTTAACAATTAAATCAACAGTTTAACATTCAATATTTTCTTGGATTTAAATTAACTATATATAGTTAATTTAAATCCAAGAAAATATTAAATGTATATAACCCATATACCTATAACTCCTATACGGGTAATCGACAATTCATTCAATGTGCAATTGTTCTTGCCGGAAAAGAAAGATGCCCTTATTTCAAATGTTAAATGGGAACTTTTGCGCATGTGCCTTACAATATACCACGCCCGGTTTTAAATTCGCCAAATTTAAAAATTCTTTTCCTTGTCATTTTCTTATAACCTCTTTGGTCGAAAACATTGTTTTTGTTTGAAAAAGTGTTTTTATTAATTTAATTTAATGCAGCTAATGTTTAAAATAAATGGGCAAAATCATATTTGCAATTCTCTTTTATTTAATCAAAAAAACTGAATTAAAAACCAGTCTAGCCAAAAAAAAATTACCGATTTAGAAAAATAATGAAATATTAAAGGTAACTAACATTCCCAATCTCTTAGCAATCTAATTGTTTATTATTTTGTGTTTATGCCTGGTTAACCAAGATGGCAGTGCATTGTTGCCAAATTGACCAAGACAGATTATATACTTTTTTTTAATAATAATTTTGTAGATTTAAATAACTACAATTAGGCTAAAATAATTAAGACAATAAAACAATAACGTTTAAAAAAGATATTTTTAAAATTTTTACCATATTTACCAGTAAAATTTGAATAAAGAAATCCTCTAAAAGACAATATAAAAGAAACAAGGCAAGCTGTAGTATTTTAATAGTGTAGCATGCGCATTGGAAACATTTTATCATTTGAGATAGATACATATACCTGTCTCTTAATAATTGCAAGGGGCCTGGTAAGTTGTTTACCCGTATAGGAGTTATAGGTATATGATATAACCGCAAAAACTGTTGATTTAACATAATTTTTCTCTTAGTGTACGAACGAGGCGTAAAAATGATTATCCAAACACCGTTGGCATAAACAATCACGACATGATTTTTTGTGCCATCGGTCAATCGCAAACAGCAATGGCTATCACTAATGTTGTCCGGGTTCGTACACTAAGAGAAAAATTATGTTGAATCAACAGTTTTTGCAGTTAAATACCTTATTATTATATTATTATTATATTATTATTATAACTATATATAGTTAATTTAAATCCAAGAAAATATTGAATGTTAAACTGTTGATTCAATTGTTAGGAAACTTTTTCTTTCAATGTACGAATGTGTTGCAAAAATGAATATCCAAACACCGATGGCATAAAATATCATGTCGTGATTTTTTATGACCAAACACCGATGGCATAAAAAATCATGTCGTGATTTTTTAGGCCATCGGTCAATCGCACTCCTGACGACACACACTTATCCAATAGACGTCCAAAAGATATCTTTTGTGGATATCCACTATATCTACTGGATATAGGTAGATGTCCTATAGACCACTCATGGATATCCAAATGTCCGCTTATATCCAGGATATAGAAGATATCCAATGGATGTACAAAAAAAATATCTAATAGATGTCTCAAGATATCTAATGGGTATCTTGTCTATATACCTAGATATATTACCTATCTTCCAAAGGATATCTAATGGATTTTCAGGTTTTTTACTCAGTTTCGTTACATAGAGACCTCCCTCTTAGAAGATTTATTTCAAAAGATGTATAAAAAAATAGTAAATATCAGAATTTCAATGTTTTTACAAAACTTTTATAATTTGTACGGATTATTAAATTGCAGTTAAATTTTTAAGTGAAATTAACCCTCAATGTTTGTATTTACCATTTTTTGATAGCTCTTTAAATAACTCTTCTAGGAGGCGGGTCTCTATATGAGGAAACTGAGTAAAGAACCTGTTCATTTAATTATGGAATTATTTTTAACTTAATTTTCTCAAAACATTTACCCTAGATCAAAGTTCTTGATTGGTAGAAAAATACTTTGAAGTCACCTACCAAATGCGCGATAAAATAAATAGAGTTTAGAATTGAGAAAAATGTGATCACTAAAAAAAAGAAATACTAAATTTTTTAAGGGTTTGAAGAAATTACCAGTTTAAAACAAATAAAATAATGGCTTTCTTGAATATTAGACACCCTTTGGATATTTGAAGCAAAAATATTTACCAAGACTAAAATTTTATTTAAAACTAATAATAAAGATATTAGAATTATTTTAACAAAATACTGTAGTGTTAGATGGTTTATTTTAAACTAAAAACAAAGTGGCAAAGTCTAATAATAAAAGAAGAAATTCAATCGTCTTGTTCATTCTCGATCTTATTTTTCTTGTTATTTAGTCGAGCTGTAGCATGTCTCAGCCAATTTTTTATTGCATTTATTATATCTTGCTCAGTGGTGGACTTCACATTATGACTTAGAGCAGCTGCTTCTGTAACAAAAGATAGACAATGCAAATATAGTATTTAAACAATAAACAATAATAAACATACTTTTAATACATTCAGAAATAATTAATGATGATAGCATCTTCTTCCCCTTTTTGCCTTCCCAATTGAACTGGGCAGCAACAGAGTCAGTAAGCACCTTCCTCACAATGTTTTTAACTACACTGCAGTACACAGTACTGTTGGTATCACGTCCACCAACTTTGGTCAAAAAGGCTACCTGATAAAAGTTATATATATATATACATTAAAAGCGAACTTACTAGATCGGAATATAGTGTTTGACAGGTTGAGCCAAGTAAGGAAAGCTTGGCAAAACCTGTAATTATTTTTCCGCGTAAAAACGCATTTAGCTAAAACATTTAGAATTAAAAAAAAACAAACCATCTTTTTCTGCTCCTCCTTTGAAGCTAATTTTCGTTCCCATGCCTCTAATTCCTCAGTGGATTTTATTGGCAAGTTTTCTTCAATGCCATCGGATAAGGCATCATCACCGGCATTATCATTATTATTTAATACAGGTTGTGGCCTGTCCTGTTCCCTTAGGGCTTAAAGAACCAACTTTAGTTGATTTTTTATCTCTCTTAAATCAGTTTCAGTCTTCTTCTTGTACTCTGAAATAGTTTTAGGACATACATAATTATAACCTATAGTCATACACATGAAGTCATATTGGCGGCTAAAAGGATATTATTATGTTCAAACTGACAAATTAGGGTTACTGATTTACAAGTGACGAATAGTTTAGGTTAAAATAATTATTAATTTGTCAGACACCGATATTTTCTAAATATTTCATTGTTGTTTAAAATGTACTAAACAAAGACAAACAAAAATTACATCATTACCAGATGCGTTTATATAATAATTACTGCTACATTACCTACTTATACTAGAAAGGAAAAAAACAATAAATTATAATTGCATCATGTACCTTTATTAAACTTGCAACAGCATGTACAACAATCTGTTGCCCTCTGAAGAATTACTCCATCACTGCTGGCTGATGTGGATGCACAACTCAATTATTAGGACGTAATAAAATTTTAATCGCCAGTAAACAAGGTCACCTGTTACGTCGCATGTTAGTCTACTCATCCACTCGTCAAAATAATTTTTGGGAACAGACTTCGACTTGTCTGTTCGACCTACAATGTATTTTCCCTATGTATACCTTGCAAATGAAGGTACGGTATATTATTTATTCAAAATAGATTGTTATGAAACAGGTACTGGTACTAGACAAATTATATATGCAGTGCTCTTTTGCTTATTTTAGATAATTAAAGCTAGAAATTCTGAATCTTTACATCTGTAAACATGAAATAAAATATTTAGGCTATGTCAACATAATAATTATTAAAGCTTATAACATTTTAGAGACTTTATTTTGTGGTTTGCAATAACTCTGTTCATAAGTAAGGCAGTATTTTAATACTGGCAACTTTAATAAAAGTTGGCAGTAATAAAAGAGGTTTGCAATAACTCTCTATCTTCACTTACCTGTGACCTCTGTTGCCTGTGATTCCAATAAACATAAACACAACCACAATCCACAACCACAAATTGTCTTGTCACAAACTTATTATGTCCCGAAATAACTAAAAAATACCCACAATAATACACAAACATCAACACACCTGTAATTCTCGAAAGTGCTATGGAGTACTCCACGTGCCGAATCGGCGGATACGCGGGAGTTATGGGTAAATGTCGGTAATACTTATTTGCGGGAAGTTTAAAAAGGAATATTAATTTATGAATTTATTTGATTACTTGCAAGCATTAAACAAAAATATAAATAACTATAGTTATATTGTGTCCGTTTAAAGAATTTTATTTATTCGGTAGGTATAGGTACCATACATGTTAAGAGTTTGGATGGAATGCGCGCATATTTTTTTGTTTTTTAATTTTTGATAGGTATAAATAAGTAACTTATAGTACCCGGGTACTCGTAATAAAAGATAATCATATTTTGGTATACTTATTTCTTGTGGTTTCGTTACATTTAAAGGATTAAAAAAAATAGCTTTTCTTAAATGTAGATATACATTAGAGGTCTAATGGATATCCTCCTATATCACCGATATGTCCCGTTTACAGTATATCCATAGATATCTACGGGATATCTATTAGACATTAAGGTTTCAAAATCCATTTTAGAGTTGATGTTTATTACAGTGTTGTAAGATATTTATAAGTATCGTTTTTTTATTTCTTTTGACAAAATTTCAAAATAATATTTTGTCTATTAATATCCGTCCGAGATATTCACTATACATCTAATGGATATATGCCATGGATATGGACATTCAGTGGATATAAGGCTATCCAGTAGATATCTAAGGGATATTGTGTGTCGTCTGGGAAACAGTGATGGCATAAAAAATCACGACATGATTTTCATTTCTCACGCAGTGACATCCGGATGATGTCCGTATGAATAAAATTTGTGAAAATCACGACGTGACGTTCGAATGATTTTCATTTATCACGCGGTGACTTCCGTATAATATCAGTATGAATAAAATTTGTGAAAATCACGACATGATGTTCGTATGAATATCAAGAATGTTGTCCGGGTTCAATTAAAAAATATATTCGGACAGCATTCGTGATATTCAAACAACGTTTTATAAATTATAACGGTGTAATGTGAATAACAAACTAGGTTTTAAATTCGCAGTTCGCAGGGCTCATACGCATGCGCAAATTTTGCAAATATCACACCGTGAGTTCTACATGATATCACTGTGATGAAGCATGTGTATGCACTCAGGATACCACAGCGTGATAAAAAAAATCACGTTGTGATATCATCATGACTTCACCAGGAAATCCCGATTATTATTCGGGGTGTGCTTTCGTAATAAGTAAACGCTCCTTTACCCTGCTTAAAATACCCCATATAAAAAAATCTATCGGGCGCTACCAGATTCAATATGTGCATTTGTTCATGGTTTTTTCCGGATATGGCCCGATAGAAAATTTATAGGAAATTACCTATACGCACACCATAACTTTTACATTTTCCCTATTGAGACTGATAGCAAATAACTCAATGAAGGATATAAGGGATATCCCTATAGAACAACCATTAAACATTTGACAAAATTTTGTTAAAACCTATGGGATCCTATGGGGGAAAAACTAATTTCTACATTTATGTATATTTTCCCCATTGAAACCAATAGCAAATATTGAACAACCCTAGATCCCAACTATGGTTCCTATACATACCGATACACCTTATAGAAACACCATACATTCCGATACGAATATCTATCGGTTTGAACAGGGTCTCTATGGGGTATTTTAAGCAGCTGGTTAAAATACCCTAGGGTAGGGGGACCTTTGAAAAGTAAGTTGTTTCAAGCAATGGCAATAAATTATAGTGTTGTTTAGTGTACCTACTTAAAATAAAAGCATTATTACCTACAATATTTTTATTCCAAAAAGGTCTTACAAAAGATCTTTTGACAAAGCAAACACATTGGTTCGTTTCGCATTTCTATACATATAAATTCGTTCATTAGATTTTCCAAATTTTGTTTGCCAACTCGTGGTAAATATGTAATAATGCAACATTATTCAAACGTTTTTGTCCCATCTTGTTTCGCACGTACGATTTTAATCGGGATTTTAATCGGGATTTTAATCCTTTAAGGGTTGAAAAACTCCTCTCGTTTGACCAAGAAGCTGAAATCGTAATTAGTAATCGAACAAATCGTAACAATTCAGGAAAAAGGCCCTTAAGGGCCAATTGGCCCATGTATTTTTTCGTAAATATCCACGACCTCCCAAATTCTTTAATTCAAATTTACTTCTGCGAGCCAAATCGAGAAAAATTTCTCTATCACTAACTAATTCTTTATAAAGAATCGCTAACTAATTCTTTATAAAGAATGTTTATTAAAACCATTTTTATAGAATAGGATAAGTTCATCGCCGAGCACAGAGATCAAAATAAAAAATTCGCTGAAGTTGTTCCAATTCCCTACAAACAATAACGATACAAAAAACGATAAGTATTTCGAGGACTCGCAATCCGACACTTTTCGATTCTACATTCATATCGTCACGATATCGTCAAATGACGTTCATGTCGATATGTATTTCGATATCGTGAACGAGTCAAAACGCGATATCGCCAACTAATGTCGATGTCGATGTTTGTTGATATCGCGAACAAACCGAACGCGATATCGTCAAACGATGTTTGTCGATATCGTATACGAATCGAAACGGGATATCGTAAACGAATCGACACGCGATATCGCGAATGTATAGGTGTAAAAATTTTAAATAAAAAATATGCAAATAAAAAAGCCTTTTTTTAATTATGTGACATTAACATACAAAAACCAGAATGGCAAGGAATTTTTATTACAATAATAAATTTTTAACATTTTACAAAACAAACTTAAAAAATAAAATAAACTTTTAAAACAAAACACAGTGTTACCAAATAAGTTGTGAGAGTACACGCTTAAGTAAGCAATTGCGGATTAAAACAGATGTTTGTGGATAAAATCAGATGTTTGCGGATAAAAGCAGATGTTTGCGGATAAAATCATATGTTTGCGTATAAAATCAGATGTTTGCGGATAAATTCAGATGTTCGCGGATAAAATCAGATGTTTGCAGATAAAATAAGATGTTTGCGGATAAAAGCAGATATTTGCAGATTAAAATAGATTTTTGCGGATAAAATCAGATGTTTGGAGATTAAAACATATGTTTGCGGATAAAAGCAGATGTTTGCAGGTGAAATCTTATGAATCAGACTTTTGCGGACTAAATGAGATGTTTGCGGATTAAAACAGATGTTTGTGGATTAAAATAGATGTTCGCGGATGAAAGTAGATCTTCACGTATAAAAGCAGATGTTTGCAGGTGAAATCGGATAAAGCAGACGTTTGCGGATTAAAGTAGATGTTTGCGGATAAAATCAGATAAAACCGGGTGAATGCAGATATAAACTCAAATACAAGTATTTGCGGATGAAAACAGATAAAAGCAGACATAGATCTAAATAGATAAAACCCGACGTTCGCGGATAATATTTATACCCGCAATTGCAGATAAAAACCGACATGCCGGGTAAAATCAGATATGTCGGATAAAAACAGATATAAATGGACATAAAACTAGCTTGGTTTTTTATCCGTAATCATCCGATATTACCCTTTTTTTCAGCAGGGAACTTTTAAATGTTTAAGTTTAAAAGCATTAATGTTTATCAATATTGAATTTTTCACTTCGTTATGACATCGATATTGTGTTTTCAATATATCATTTGATGTCAATATCGATGTTTTAAGAAATTTGCGCATCCCTAGTAAGAGCTCAAACTATGACTCGTTTGTTTATGTTCACGGTCGCGCTTAAACCAGTTTCAGTTACGGTTAAACCAGTAACTGTTAAACCGGTGACAGCTTTAATCGGTCACGATTACGATTAAACCGGTTAAGGTTAAACCGATTACGGTGAAACCGGTCACGGTTATACCGGTTACGTTCTTTAACGGTTTTTGATCCTATAAAACCGGCCTTAGTCGTTAGACGAGTCGTCAAATTTGGAAAGATATTTTTGAGCTTAGTTTTTATTAAATATAAAAATATAAATAAAAAGCATAATGCACTGCAAAATTAGGACCAAGGAACATGCTGCGATAACGATACGAAAGACGATATAAAACACTATATCGTCATTGTTTGTAGGAAAAGTCGCATTTCAATGATGAAAGAATTCGATCGTAAACTTCATAATACAGTTTCTATACATATCTTCGGC